GTGCACAAATACAATAAGTAAAAAGTATGAGAAAATAATGTACGTAATGAAATGTTTAAAAGAAAAGTAAAAAGCATGTAAAAAGTAAAATAACCAAAAGGCATAAAGTGGAGATGAAGTGTGAAAAAGAAAGTAAAAAGCGTGCAAAAGTAAGATAAATGATGAGATATATACAAATAAAGTAAGTAAAAACATATAAAAATAAAATAAGCAGCAAGGTGTGCAAACAAAGTAGATAAGAGAGTGCAAAAATTAAGCAGGTAATGAAATCCATGCAAAAATAAAGTTACGACAAATAAAGTAGGTAAGAGGCATGAAAAAATAAAGTTGACAATAATATGTGTACAAAGACACTAAGTAAAAGGCATGCAAAACGTAATAAAATATGCACAAATAAAATGAGCAAAAAACATTTAAAAATGAATAAAACAAGTAGAAACGAAGTGAATAAAAAGCATGCAAAGAAAGTGGGTAATAAAATATTTGCAAACAAAGTGAATGAAAAGCATGCAAAAATAAACTTAATAACGATACGTGTAGAAGGAAAGTGAGTAAAAAGCATTTAAAAATAAGGTTTCTAACAAAATGTAAAAATAAAGTAAGTAAACGATATGTAAAAATAAAGTAATGAGTGATATATGCACAGTTAAAGTGAATAAAAGGCATGCAAAAATAAAATAATAAAACATGTACAAATACAGTAAGTGAAAAACATTAAAAAAAAGTAAGTAATGATATGTAAAAGTAAAATAAGGAAGATATATGCAAAAATAAAGTTGGTAATAATACATGACAAAGAAAGTAATAAAGTTAGTAATAATGTATTTACAAATAAAGTGAATAAAAGACATGCGAAAATACAGTAATAAAACGTGTACAAATACAATAAGCAAAAAGTGTGAGAAAATAATGTATGCAATGAAATGTTAAAAAAAAAAAAAAAAAAGTAAAAAAGCATGCAAAAAAGTAAAATAACCAAAAGGCATAAAGTGGAGATTGTAGAAAAATACATAACTGAGTTAGGAAAAGTAAGTAAAAGTTCGTTCGAAACGGGAAGAAAATGAAATGCGAAGAAATCTAAAATGAAGGTGTGCAAACAGAAAGCGCAAAATACAAATTCCAGTGAAACCATTGAAAGAAAGTGAAAGGCAAAGTAAGCAAAAAATTACGGCAAAGAAAAAGCAAAAATTATGGCAAAAACGAAAAATTGAGCGAAATTCAAAAAATTAAGAATATTTAAATCTTGAAAAAATGAGCAAAATTCAAATAATCAAAAGTGTTTAAAATCTTGAAAATTGAGCAAAAATTTGAAAAATCAAAAACATTGAAAAAAATTCGGT